AATAATGAGTTATTAAGAGAATATCTACTTGATTTATTTTCCCCTTGTTTGTTAGCATAGAAGTTAAGAGCTCAGACTTGGGCAATACTGTTTGGTTTGAATCCTGGCCCAGCCACCTAGGAGCTGTGTGACATTGGGCAAGTTATTGACCTCTCTGGGCCTCATTCCTTCATAACTATAAAATAAGAACAGTACCTACGTCATTAGATTAAAAAGGTTAATATTTGTAAAAGACTTAGAACAATGCCTAGCATGTAGCAATCGTTTTATCTTTGTTGAATAAATAAATTACATTTCAAACTTTAAAGAATTTTCATTATATGTATAAAATAAACACTTCTATTTGCCTTTTAAACATGACACATCTTTTTATTTATAATATTTTTAGCTACCTTTTCATTTGAAAACAAACTATTTCCCTAAATCTGAGTTAAACTTAAAAATGGTGCCACCTCAAGACCTGCCCCACAGCAGACATAAACTGTTAAGTAAATTGCACACTTGTGTTATCTTTCCACCTAAAAAGCATCCCTTTACATTCGTTGATGCAAAATCCAGAATGTCCTTATCCACACACCCATGGATTACGCTAAAGCAACCCCCGTCCATAGAAAGACTCCTCCAAGTAAGACATGTGAGAACATGGCCTCTTTTCTCCCTCCTCAGTGACCAACTACCAAAGATTTCATTGCTGGCCTTTGTCCTGACTTTATCAACATGACTCACTCTGAAAAGTATAAATGTGGACATGCTTTTATATGAGTTTCCATATTAGAAAAGTCGGCTCAATTAACACAAAACGCCATTTCAGTCACATGCTTTTTTCTTCCTTAGAAGTGATCAAGAAGAAATGTAGAAAACACTTCTTTCTTTCTCTTTTTGTGTAGAAACTACTAACATTTCAATAAATTGACTTTTGCTGAACACGAGCATAGTAAAGTGATTTTTTTTAATTGAAAGTGAAGATTTCCTTTGTATCAACATATAAGGATTATTTAGCTGATTCCAAGAAGATGAATAAACCTGTGATCATAATGATTGAATTACTGGGCAAGAAAAATAATGTTACACAAAGACCAGAAAACAGAGTGGGACAGAAAGGTCTGTAATGGTTTGGCTGCTAAAGGACATTTTTACGCACATGCCAGCACTAAGTGCTCTTCGCAATGAATAAACCATATGTCCATTTTTCTATGCTTCCTTTCACTAAGATCCTGCGACTTCACAATATTCCCTTTGTCCCAGTCCCTGCCTCATCTCCCCCCTCCCTCGGCTCCCCCATCCCCAACTTCACCTCCTTGGGCAAACAGTATTTGTGCCCTAGCTACCAACTTGAACATCTGCTACCTTAAAAAAAAAAAAAATCACCTCACTGCCTAACATCCTCCAGGGCAAAAAGTTTGAAGGATTCAGCATCCTCAAAAGAACAGCTACAGAAGGAGAAAAAAAAAAAAAAGAAAAAAAAAGGCCTATCTTTTCCAGCTCAGTAAATTCTGTCTATATAAAGATTAAATGAATAACATTTTAAAAATTCTTCAGTGCAAGCAAATCCATGTTACCAAGAATGTATTGTCTTTCTTATGCATAGAGGGAGACCCACACATTTTATTTTATTTCATTTTTGCAACTGTGTCTCCTTTTCAACATATTACCATATAGAAGAGATAGAGCATATATATGACTCTAGAGAAAAGAATGCCAATATTTTCCCTCTTTTTACCCGATGGTTTTCTCATCTTCTTCTTCTTCTTCTTTTTTTTTTTTTCCTGTCCCCAAACACTCCCCCAGTTGAAAGATAAAGAAATATTTCCACTGAATTAAAGTGAGCCCGGTGTTAAAATAACTTGCCTGGATCCAACCAGAGCCCATTTTTTTAAACTCCATTTCAACATTTGGTGGGCAGCCCTGCCCCATCACTCACTTATATTAGCCACTCCTGCAACCAGAATTCCCATCGCCATACACCTTTGCCCTCAAGCTTTTACTAGTCCATTGCCTTTATATGTTTACACTTAATTTGATTCCACCCTTCATGCTTTTTTCATTATTCTTAGTTCATCCACACCACATAAATTATCACCTTTGTTTTCAGTTCCCCATGTGCCCCATTCACACCAATTCCAAATAAATACTTCTGATTCTCATCCATTTAATCCAAATTAATTCATATTCCCTCTCCCCATCCTCCATCCTCACCTCTAGCTCCCCTCCTGTTTCTCTTTCTTATAGCACCAAATTTTCCTTCCATGCTTATCTCTGAGCAAGGTTTTACAGGCAAAATGCTTCTGGAGGATGCAAGGTGATTGCTTTCTGTATTGTCTTAGGAAAGCCAAGCTCTACAGCGCTGCCACCTTCAATAAGCCAATGCCTGCACGTCCAGATGCACTCTTTACAACCCGTGTCCCTGAGCATCATAACCCCCACAAAGAGTGAGGAAAAAGCTTCTCGCTTTTTGAAGGTATTTAACTTTGCCTTATTTCTAGCTTACATAGAACTGTTTTTTCACACAATCATCATTAATCAATATCAATATCTATTGTAATAACTACAAACCAACTCCACTACTATCTTCGATGAGCTCTTACAATCTGCCCAGTATTTTACATATATTGATTCATTTAGTCTTCAAAACAATCTAGGATATAGATAAAATTATCCCTATATTTTACAAATGACTAAGCTGAGACTCAGGGAAGATAAATCACTTAACCAGGTCACAAATCTAAGTAGAGCCAGAACTCAGACCCAAGTCCACCTACTACAAAGCCCCCACTCTCAACCACTTTGCAACACTGCCTTTCAATACTGCAGGGCGCCTCCTTGAGTAAATTCCCCATGGGGAGGAGTCTTTCCACATCAGTCCACCATAAGGCAAGTGGTTGCAGGTGCTGGGGAACATAATGAGCTCCACCTTGATAATCGCTCTGAGTAGACCGTGCCCAAAAAACAAAGCACCAAATAAGGCATCACTCCTAAAGAGGTCTCCTTCTGACACATCTGTTGGGAGAAGGGGATAGGAAAAAGAAGAAAAATGCTCTGGACTCCCCCTTAAAAAAAAAAAAGAATCTTGCTTCCCCAGAGCTGTCCAGTCTTCCTACTAGACAGGATGTAGCCTGTCTTCATGTCAGTAATTCAGAAATGTGTCCATAATCATGCCTTCCACGCCCCCAACAAAGCTCAACATTCTTGCTCCATTCCGCTTTCTCTGGTTTCCTGGGGAGAACGGGAAGTGAGTCACCATCAAAGCCTGGGAGCACTGCAATGTCTTGTCATGACTTTACTCATTGACTTGAGAAAGAAAGAAATATAAATAAAAAATGACCTTCAGGACAATATCAGAAAGGAAAAAAACAAAAGATGACCTGAGCAGGAACTGTTAGCCTTGGTGTCTGTGGGGTGGGGCACTCAGACTCTTGGGAAACCCTCACTGGGACTCTGCACTTGAGCCACAGGGTTCAAAAGTCATGTTAGGAGACCTTCCCATGAACCAAGCAAGAGCTACATAGGAAGTTAAGTGCAGAACTGGAGTACCTGCCTAAGTCCTGTGTAGCAGGAAAGCAGTGTGTTCTCGTCCTCCCATGCATGGGACTGACTCTGAGGTTCAAAATGGTGATTTTGTCTAGACACATATTACACATCTTATTTAGGAAAGTGCTTCTGTATCGCACAAAGTATTTCATGCTCCCACACCACGGAGCATTAGAGCTGAAAGGGACCTTAAGTCAGTCTGTTTGACGGATATGGAAAATGAGGCCCAGTAAGGTAAAGGGACACTCTCAAGGTCACAGAGCTAGTCAGTGGCAGAGTTAGAACCAGAACCCGGGTTTTTCTGATTTTCCAGCCAATGAGTTTTGCACTGCACACTTCCTTGGTTAGTCCAGACAGAAACTCATCACAGAGCACCAGGAAGATGAGCCTCAAGACCAAAACCAACTCCCACCAGCCACTTCTCCTGGCTCAAATCCAATCACCCATTTCTCCCGGACTGCACTCCTACTCTGCTGCTTATACTTTCAGAGTTTTCCCTAATTCAGCTGTACTGTGCAAGGAGTATGCAAAACCGTTCAGGCGACATAGCCAGGACTCATTTAAAAACCACCAATGACAGTAATTGCTCCTAGGATGCTAACACCAAGAAGAAACACCAGCCCTAAGCTTGTACCTCAAAGCACAGAACAAAGACCAGTTTCAAGGAAAATGCCAATCTCACTCTTTTCTCTATAAACGCCACTCTTCCAAATAATCCCATTGCTCCAAAGATCAATATGATTCCTGGGAATCACCACAGAAGTCTTGAGTAAAATATACAGTCCCCGTCGGTTACCACTCGCCCTTCCCACACACATAGCAATGTAATCACTTTAGCAACTTCTCAGTAACAAGCTCATTAAAAAGCAATTCTGCCATCTCTCCATAAAGCACGTGCCAGAGAACAATGCAAAAGAGGAGATGCCAATTAATTATAGAATGATCACATCTAATGAACTCTGAAACCCTCCTGCTGTTGGTGACTTTGATGAAAAATCAGGGATGCTGGGAAAAGAGTGAATAGGGACACCCCGACTACCTTGTTTAACTGTGAGTTCTTTCAAATGTGCCTCCTCGGATTCCAGTGTTGCTCAAAACCGCAGAGCTACACTCGGAAAACAATGAAAAGTGTCAGGGAGGTGACAAGCGCGTGTATAGTGTACGGCTGTGAGTCACACTACCAGAGCCCCATTCAGACCTCCTTGGGACTGTGTGATTCTAGCCTGTGGTTGGCCCTGCCTCCGAAAGGATCGCACAGCCAGCGAGCGACAAGCCCACGGCCTGAGCCGAGGACATCCGCAGAGCTCAAGGTCACACGTGCGGCACTCTGCTGCCCCGCCCCGGCCCGCCCGTCTGGCTGCCACCTCCGAGTCAGCACGATGCCGCTCCTGGGGACACGGGAGCCCTTCCCACCGCGAGCCTAAGGGAGGAAGGAGAAGAAGAAGAAACCACGTGCGGCCAACTTGTACCACTACCTGTGTGAGTCCTCTGGTGGGCCTTTAGGTGGGAGCTTTTTGTATAAACTTTCCGGCACCCGTTAAACTGACAGCGGTGAACCCTCTTCTTGTTTTCGGGGCATGCCTCGGCCCCCACCCCTCCTTGCTCACTGTCGCTCTGTCCGCTCTTAACTGTCCCAGCTGCCGCCACGGCCGCCGCTGCCGTGGCCACCCCTCCCACCTTGACCGAGCCGAGTGCAGCCTTCTTGGCCACCAGTTTCAACGTCACCGTGCCATCCACGGCTGAGAGAGTCTGTGAGGTTTTGACCAGATGGCGGCTGAGCTCAGGGGACGATGGGGGCGTTAATGAGGTCACTGCGTTGAGCTGGGCCTGGTTGACGGCTGTGTAGCTGTCTAGAGAAGAGCTGGTTGGCTGGAGGCTGAGGCAGGTCTCAGATAGCAACTTGTCCCGAGAGAGAAGAATGTCCACTGCCGAGCTCTTCTCGCAGATGGTGGCTTCCACAGGGAGCAGCAGCGGGTCCAAGCGCCGGAAGCTCTCCTCAATGCACGGGGGAGGAGAAGCATGGAGGAAACAGTCCAAGTCCTCACCGAAGGTCTCCGAGATCCTCCTAGGCTCCGTCTGTAGGTAGCGTTCCAATTCAAGGCATGTCTGCAGAGGGGAAGAAGGGAGGGAGAGAAACAGCCATCAGAGGCAAAGAACACCATGAGTCCACATGTCGACAGGCAGAGCAGGAAGAGACACACGGAATGGTTTTGTGGCTAGAATCTGAAATTCTCTTGGTAAAAGGTCTGACCCTGTTATTTAGTCCCTGAATACTTCTGAAGGGCTCATAAGGGTCACATCATGCAAGTTTAATGAAGTGGAACTAGAGGCCCAGAAGGGCTATCTCACACCATTAAGATCCCAGAGAACATTCCACATTAAAATGGTCTCCTGCCCCACAATCCAAGTCAGCAGGTGAGATGCTCCAAGCATTGCTAGGAGTTCCCATGTAAGCAAGAAGTAAATAGAATCAGACAAAGTTTTCATACCAAAACAAGACTTCCCATAGTCCGATTTCATTTTTCAAATAGACTTGAGCAAGTTGCAAAAATCAGTCAATTTTCTGACTTGCTCGGAAGAACGAACCATGCCTACCAACTACAAGGTGACCTCAGCCACAATCAGCCAACAGCAAGCCCTGCCTTGGATTCCCTAACCAGCGGGAATGGATACTGTTCTGAAGAATGCCTCTCACAAAACCTTTGATATACAAGACAAAACTCCCCTTGTTTACAGCAAGTTATTCAAAATACAATTGCTACCTATTTTGTGGCAAGGGGCATAAGTCTGATTACAATGGTTTAGCATCTCTGTGTGATAAAAATAAGTTCAAACACAGCTATTTGACTTGCTAAAGATAAGACCCAATATATTTCAACATAAAACTTTCACCTGGTAAAGAAATAGAGAAAAAGAATGGAAAAGTTCAGAGCTGCAACACATCTTCATCCATGGTGCTCTTTGTAACATGTTGGAAACGCTCTTATGGCAAAAGTGGATATTTAAGTTTATACTCAAAAAGCTTTCCTCACTTAAGAATCCTACTTTTCCAGAATCTTGTGTAAAACCATGGTGCTAACTTGCACCATCAGCTCAATTTGCTCTGGCTTCTGGGCTTCAACAAAGAAACACTGATGGCAAATTTAAGATGCGACTGGCTCCTAATTCACTGCCTCCCTAGTAGAGCATTTTATATTTCAACCAATGTTTGGATCCTAGGCTTTTATTCTGTTAAGAATATATTTTAATGATATACCTCATTGTGTTGTATCTGTTAAGGATTTTAGTTTGGTGATATTTCAAAAGATTGTTTTTGTTTCTCTTTCTTATTCCATTTATTCTCCCATAAATTTCTCTATTAGGAGATGTACTGTCGATGGGGTTTACATTTTCCCAGATACAGAATCATAGAACCATGGAGTTTCAGAGATGTTTGTCTAGATTTTATGTACATTGTGCTTCTCTAACATGTTCATATGTCAGCATTTTACCTGTTTTTCTTAGACTGCATGTGATAGCCATTCCATGCTCACTATTTTGACAAGGTTCTAGCTGCCTACCAGGGTTAGCACTTAACCTCTATATCAGAATCCACCAATGGTCACTGCCTTTGGTATTCTCGGCCAGCCTGCCCTTCATGGCTGCCAAACCCCATCTGTATCCTTATGATACCAAGGGCCCAACTCCTCCTACCTTGCTTGATTCACTCTACTCCTGCTCTCTGAATAACTCAGACGCTACCTGCAAAGTTTTCTTTCCTATTTGCCAAAGTATTCAACACCACCTTATATACTTGGACCTTCAAAATCTTTAAATTATTTATATTCTCCCACTGGTTATATATTTGTCTTGTGTCTTCTGTTTATTTTTTGTTATTATTTTTATTGAGGTATAATTGACATACAACATTATATTCATTTCAAGCATACAACATGATTCCATATTTGTATACACTGCAAAAGGATCACCACAGTAAGTCTAGCTACCAGAAGATTGGTTTTTAATCAGCCTTATGGTAAAACTCTACACTCATGAATAAGAAAACCAGATTTTTAACTATGAATCAACTTTTGGTTTCACTTTTGACTTTTAATAGCATAAACTAATGAATTATTCTAATCTTCATTCAACATTCATATCACATGTTTTTGTTCAACTACTGTGTTCACAGCAAGGTGCAAGGTTTTCTGTGTGTTGGAAGAAGATATTAATAGATCCATGTGATGTAGGTGCAGGATAAATAATTACAAGCTAAAAATGACATGAATTTACAAAGCAAAGTGATACCAAATAACATACAATAAAGTGTGTTTATAAGTTCTTAGGGAATGAGTGGACAATGAAGTCTACACTCTATAATATGAAGGCATTCATCAAGGGAAGCTTATTGGAAAAGTCAGTTTTGATTCTATTTTATGTATTGATTAAATAATAGCTCTGGCTGAGTAGCTTCCCACCATTTTATGTTTGAAACCAACACTACCACCTTCTCAGGTCAGAAATTTACATTATCTTCAGTTGCCCCTTTCTGAATTCCTTGTCTCAAAAATTTTCCCTTTCCTTTTTCCATCGCATTGCTAGAAATTGTCATTTACTTCTCTCCGATATTGAAACCCTCAGGCTTAGCTCCAGTCACTTCACTTCTGAATTATGAGATCCTACTCCTAAAACCTCCCTTAAAGCTCCCCTTCCCTTCTAAAACCCTCACCTACCAAGCACAGTGCCTGGCACCCACCAGGTACATAATGTCTATCAAACAAAGACAAAATCAACTTTATACTACTACTTTGATTAACTCCTCCATTCCACAAAAGCCATCTCCAGACCCCTTATCCTGGATGATGCTGAGGCTAGCAATCTTAGAAATGACCACTAATACATGTCTTCTGGAACACAACTATAATCCTTCTTTAGCTTTGGCCCAAAGGGCAGAACCAGATCTTTGAAACATGGATATGTTTCAGATAAAAAACAGCTGAATCATAGGTTATAAGTTGTCCTTGAGGCAGTTCCCTGCCTCACACACAAAGATTATTTCAAACCTAGTCACCGCTGTCTTTTGACAGAGTTTTTGTATGTCATGTCTTCTTATATACTTTCTAGCTCAAAGATTTGAAAGCCACTGAGAAATTGTTGTGATTGTTAGGAAGCTCAGGTCTCTTCATATTCAGAGTTCTAGGAAACAGAGAGATTCTAAACACATTTATATACTTTTCTGGGAAGGTTAAAAAATAAGCTACCCAGTATGCCCTAGTTTAAATCCCAGAAGCACACAGGTCAGACTAATGATCTAAAGATAGAGACACATCTACTAAAATGCTGGACCACTTAAGAGCAGCTACCACTTGCAACCCTAATACAGGGCATTCTTATTCCATCTGAGAATTAGAGAGGCATGAGTACCCATCAGAATGTGCTGGATAGCCCTATGAAATCATTTTGGAATGGTTTTTGTCTTGAGAAATCCACTTCTTGTAGTATTCTACTTAGAGAAGAGATTTTGTGAATCAGAAACTCATCAGGAGTGCTGGAAATTAAAATGTCAAGAATGAAGAGAATTTTAATGTTAGATTATTTCTAAGCCAAAGAGAAAGCTTATCTCCAATGTTTTTCTTTAATGATTACAAGGACTCCCTTAAGAAATGCCTATGATGTTTAATTAAAATTTGAGGTATTTACTCATAGATATTAATACATACACACAGAGAAGTATATACAGAAATAAATGTGTATATGTGTCATGAGTATACATATATTTCCTAGCTCTGTCTTTAGGGAGAGTCTACAAGAAAGACACCCCAATAGCACTGAACACACCTAGTATATAGATCATGGTTTCTAAATATCATTATCCAATAAGGGGAAACCAGGGCACCTTGGAGAAATAGTTGATTCAAAGTCTGGGGCAAAGAAAATAAAAGATGAGTCTAGAATATCTTGTGGTACTAGAAGGTAAGAAGTGTTCATAAAGTGATAGAGCTATGTCAAAAAAACCTCAGGGGCAATTTGAAGGAGCTTTTAATGACCAAATCTGGATAATATGAGCAACAGAAATGAATAGTGATGATGGATTTTAATACATGGAATAAAATTAATATCTATAAATCCATAGTGATATAAATAAATAGTTGAATCAATAAACAAATGGAGAGGATTAGCTTCTCCTTACAGTAAAATTATAATTAATAAGCATAGAAGGGATGATGGAAATAGAAAATCACCATTAGGCAAACAAAAAAGTAATAATGACATTGACAAGAATCACCAGTGGATGCTAAAATTAGTACATGAAAGTATAATGAAAAACAAGATATTTGCCTAGTCTCAAAGTATCCCTCTCAATAAGATATTAGTTAACTACAAAGACAAAAACAATAATTTTATAGTGGCGAATCCTAGCATGCACCACTTTAAATATATGATCAAAGTTAGCAGTACCCATAATAAGACATACTGATATCATGTACCCTGGTATGAAGGCTGAAAAGGGCAAAAAATTATTCTACACCAATCCTGCCCAAAATACATAACCTCAATGTAATCATGAGAAAACACCAGAACAATCCAAATGGAGAGCCATTCTACAAAATAACTGGCTAGTATTCTTTAAAAATATCAAGATCATGGGGGCGCCTGGGTGGTGCAGTCAATTAAGCATCTCACTCTTGGTTTCAGCTCAAGTCGTGATCTCAGGGTCATGAGATCGAGCCCTGCGTTGGGCTCCAATGCTCAGTGTGGAGTCTGCTTGAGATTCTCTCTCCTTCTCCCTCTGCCCCTCTACTTGTGCACTCTCTCTCTAAAAATAAATAAATCTTTTAAAAATATATCAAGATCAGGAAGAACAAAGGAGACTGAGGAGCTGTCCCAGATCAGAAGAGACTAAGGAGATATGATAATTAAATGCAATGGATTTTGAAGAGAAAAAAGACATTGATGGGAAAAATAATTTAATTCAAATAAAGTGTACAGATTAGTTAATGGCACTGTATCAATATTAATTTCCTGGTTCTGATCATTGTACTATGGTCACGTAATGTTAGGGGAAACTGGGCAAAGTGTATACAGGAACTCTATCTACAATTTTTGCAACTTTTCTGTAAGTCCAA